GCAGGGGTGAAGGGGGGAGGGGAGGGAAGGAGTAAGGGAGGGGAGCAGGGGGTGAAGGGGGGAGGGGGGAGGGAAGGGGTAAGGGAGGGGAGCAGGGGGGTGAAGGGGGGAGGGGGGAGGGAAGGGGTAAGGGAGGGGAGCAGGGGGCAGGGGTTATAAAGCACTGAAGGGGAAGTGGATTACATATGAATGTGGAAATGATTAGGGAGAGGCTGGAAGGAGTTTCTGAGGAGCAGGAAGATGGACAGGCAGAAATGGAGAGAAAGCGGCGGCAGCAGCAGCAGCAGCAGCAGCAGCAGCAGCAGCAGCAGAGGCAGCAGAGGCAGCAGCAGAGGCAGGGGAACGGGAAGGAGCATGGGTAGGATCAGGACCCGTTATTCCTCAGCTGCTCTAAAAGCTCTCGCATGGCCTTTTCTCTCTCTTCCGTGAGCCAAGTCAGCCCCAGCACATCGTGTTGTCTCAAGTCCCTGGCAGGCTTTCTCAGCTCCCCCTCCCTCCCCAGCTCTTGCTCACCTCAGAGGAAACGCCGAGAGTGTGTGCGAGGGGTTGACAAAGTCCAGCTGGTTGTCATCCTTGACATAGAGGAAATTCTCGTCCTCGAAAGTCCGCAAACTTCGATTCATCAGGTCGTTGTGGAAGCTCGAGCCTGTCACCTCCAGCTGATAGGCTTTCTCAGCTCCAGCCCAGCTGGTAAGGGGGCAGGGGTCCTCACCTCTATCGCCGATGGGTTGATATGGGCAAACGCAGAGAATATGTCCGGCATCCCGTCGATTAGCTCCTCGTCAGCTGGGCGGTAGCTCCCTAAATCCTCCTCCTCCTCCTCCTCCTCCTCCTCCTCCTCCTCCTTGGCTTCTCCCGTCCCCTCCTCCTTCCCCTCCTCTTCGCCACCCTCGTATCCCTGCATCAGCGCGTAAAGTCCTCCGAGCTGCGCCAGTGGGAGAGCAACTGAGCTCGCGTTGACCGCCTGGGTGTCGTTGGGGCCCGGGGGTTCTTGGGAAGGAAACCTGGAGGAGGAGGAAGTGAGAAGAGGGAGGAGGAGCGATTAGGGAAAGACAGTGGTTGGGAGAGAGAAGACAGAAGGCGGGAAGACAGGAGAGAACAGAGGAGGAGAGGAGAGAAGAGAAGAGGAGAGGAGAGGAGGAGAGGAGAGGAGAGAAGAGAAGAGGAGAGGAGAGGAGGAGAGGAGAGGAGAGAAGAGAAGAGGAGAGGAGAGGAGGAGAGGAGAGAAGGACGTACCAAGCTGAGATGTTGACGAAGGCGTTACGTCGAGCGAGGATACGACCGGGACGGACTGAGTTGAACCACAAGGAGGGCCCAAAGAGCAAGCAGCGCTCGAGAGTGAGAGACGCGTCGCCAGAGCCGTCGGAGGAAAGGAAGCAACCTGATAAGGATTAAACGAAAACCAGGAGAAGGGAGAAGACAGGAAGGGGGAAGAGAAAGAGGAAAGAGAGGACGAGGACGAGGACGAGGACGAGGACGAGGACGAGGACGGGGACGGGGACGGGGACGAGGACGGGGAAAGGATCAAGTTTAGGCGAGAGAGGAAGAAAACGAGCAACAGGAGGAGGAAGTGAGAGCGCAACGCTTTTGGCATGTGCTGACCGAGCTTGTTCGCTCTGAACGAGCAGTTGAAGAGACTGACCGAAGCCCGATGGCAGACCTCAACCCCGACCTGCAACATGAGAAGATCACAAGTCGAGCAGTGATGGTGAGATAGTTGACCATGTTGTGGTGGATTTTTGTGCTGGAGATGTTTATACTCACTGAGTCGTCCGCAACGATAGCTGGATTCCTGAAAAGATGAACAAAAACTTTTCATTCCAACATTTCATCATAGGTACAAGGGAGAAAGGTTGAGAAAGTGTACACAACAACTCACGTGTACAGTCCAGTGTATCGAACAACACTTCCAGCTACCTCAACGCTTGATGTGTGTTTTGCGTCAATAGCCACCGTTGCCATCAGTTTGTCTGATTGTAAACATCAAAGCTGGAAAGAAGATCATCGTCGTTATCACATTTCGCTTCCTTGTCTACTTCCCTTTCAAACCCAAAGACGGTGCTCGAGCATCGACCAGGCATGCCAGTAAGAAGACTCTGCAATATGAGCACTCAATATCTCCTCCTGCTCCCGCTCCTGCTCCCGCTCCTGCTCCACCACCACCTCCTCCTCCCTTCCTCCTCCCTTCCTCCTCCTCCCTTCCTCCTCTCTTCCTCCTCCTCCTCCATTATCTCCATGAGCACTAAGATGATGAGAATTATCATCTCCATCACTCCATCGCATCTTGCTCATCACATCTCAAGCATCATCATCCTTGTACCTGGTTCACAAGCACTCTCGAGTCTCCTATGCAGCCCAGTATTCCACACCCCACAGCTCCGATGCAGCTGGACTGAATCCTCCACTTGGAGTTGCATACTGTCGCTGCTAGATGATGAGGAGGTGAACAGAGAAGAGAGAAGGACAAGAGAGAAGGAGAAAGGTGAAGTAGAGGACAAGGAGGCTGAAAGTTGAACAAGCAGCGGGGGAGAAGAAGAATCAAATGGAAGCAAAATGAAGAAGAGGCAAAGTTGTCTTGAAGGGGTCTGGGGGATGAGAATGAAGAGAGAATGAAGAGAGAAAGGAACAGAGACGGAAGTGTTCTCATCAGTTGAGGGAGGGAGAGGAGGGGAGGAGGATGGCTGACGGGGATAGAAAAACTTTGCAGGCATCACCTACGACGAAGATAGCGATTTCATCGTATCGGGTCTCCTCGTTGGGACGCCAACGAAGCAAGAGGTTGTTGATACCCCCTGCATGATCAAATTCGGTCAAGAGTGGAAGGAGAGGAAAGAGAAGGAGGAGGAGGAGGAGAGAAAGTGAGAGGATATGCAAGACACAATGCACAAGATAAAAGATAAAAGATAAAAGATAAAAGATAATATAAAAGACGTGAGAGAACAAGAGATCGCAAAATAACACTCTTCAACAACAGGGCACCAGGACAGTGTGGAACGAACCAGAGCTACGGTCAATGAGTTGCCATCGAGCGAACGTCCTACATCGAAGATTCTGATCAAGAGACTTGACGTCTTCTCCCTGCTGACTCCCTTCCCTCGCATCCAGAACCTGCTGCTGTTGACCCTGATCAAAGTCGTCCAGTTGTATTCCCCTGGCTCTAGCTCGACTCGTCCTGGCGAGCTGTCACCCTGCCAGACCTCTCAGCTCCTGTCCTCTTCCCCCCAGCAGCAGGCATCACCTCCGCGAGATCCGCGATGGTGGGATACCGCTGAGACGGGAATGTCACAACCTCCAAGGCTTCCGACTGTGAGTCTGAGAGTTCGAGACCAGGTTTGCCCTCGCTCAGCTCCACTTCCTCTGCTTCCACCTCCTCTAGGACCTGGACAAGGAGCTCTGAGCTATCAGCCCTTCCCTCCGTCCTCCTGCTTCACCTCCTCGTCGCCGTCGTTGGAGGTACTGAGGCTGTCGGACTCGGGGAACGTGAGGTTGGAGTAGTGAGTCCGACAGGCTTCACACCCCTGAATGTGCTGGTTGTTCTTCTCCTCGATTTCATCCACCTGCTCCACGACATCAACCGCCTCCATCTCCGTCCACCACAGCGACGCGTCACCTTCGCCTCCATCTCCTCCAGCTTCGCCATCACCGTCTCCTGAGTGGCGTTGGGCCCGTAGCCCTCGGACATGTCGCTGGTATGCATCGACGATTCAGACCCTGAGAAGTCAGAGTTGTATGCCAGGAACTGGGCAACGAGGTCGTCTCCTCTCAGCGCCTTCCTTCTCTTCCTCTTGGTTGCATTGACCATGTCCTCTAGCCACTGTGGGGATCCTTGTGAGTCCGACGTGTCATCCTCCTCCCCAGCAGCATCGGAGACGTGCGAGCCCGAGTCTCCCGCCTTGCTCCTCCTCTCATCGCTAGTCCTCCGCGCCTTGACCGCTTTACCTCCTCGCAGCTGGAGGGAGGGCGAGAGCGAGAGCAGACATGAGGAACGCAGTCCCGTCAAGATTTGGCTGCTCCTGCATTTTTGTCCTCCGCATTGATTCTGATGCAGATGCAGACACAAGGCGAGAAGGACCAACACTCCCTTTGTTGCTCTTGTTCCCATTTGCGTTCAGCACCCCGCCGAGCATGCATTTCCTGCAAGCTCAGGAGAGAAGGATTCCATCCGCCTTCATTCGTCAGCTTCTTGACCTCTCTGTTTGCTGCCTGCTTGGTCCCTCTGCCTCGCACCGACCTCCATCGATCTGCTTCAGTCTCCGGGAACAAGTCCTTCACTTCCCTTTCCCCGGTCTCCCTTCCCCTCCCCCTCTTCCTCTTGTTCTCCCTCTTCCTCTTCTTCTCCCTCTTCCTCTTCTTCTCCCTCTTCTCCTCCCTCCCCCTCTTCTTCTCCCTCTTCTTCTCCCTCTTCTTCTCCCTCCCCCTCTTCCTCTTCCTCTTCCTCTTCTTCTCCTCTTCTCCTCCTCCCCTCTTCTTCTCCCTCTTCTTCTCCCTCCCCCTCTTCCTCTTCCTCTTCTTCTCCCTCTTCCTCTTCCTCCTCCCTCACTTTCTCGCTCTCTGGCAAGGTCGGATAAGGCGATCCGTCTTGTGGACAAGGGAAATGTTTTTTGACGTTTTACAGATGTTTTTTACTATCACATACCGTACGGAGGCGGGCCTGGCCTGAACTACGCCGGGGCCAAAGCAGCCGGCGAGCCTCGACACAACGGCTGGGCCACAACAAGCTAACAGCGATTGCCACAGGAAGCCCAGCAGGAAGCCAGCACTAGCTGAATTTCTCGTGGGCAATGCTTAGCTGGACAAGACGGTCTTTGAGCTCTTGTGCTCGAAGAACACAAGATCTGCAGAAAGCAAGTCAGCACATCTATCATGGCTCGACGCCCTCCAGCGTCTACCTGTATCGCTGGTCGGGTATCTGACAGCCCTGCAAGATCACCATCCTATGGCATCCCAACGTAAGGAGAGAGCGTGGGCAAGATGGGTGACAAACTTGGCTTCGTTCAGCTTCACAGATACCTCTTGCAACTTAAGCTGGATGGTTTCAATCTTCTCGCTTTCGTTGTAGTCATACACCTGTAACAGGTTACTTCACCGCTTGCAAGGTCATCATGCTTGTCTAGAGACCACGCAATCTAATCTTGCTTCCAACTTGGCAATGTCGTCAAGAAGATCCTCAGCTTCGTCTGTGAGTCTCTCGCCTTGTGCTCTTAGCTGAGACCTGACTTTGCCTCACGGGGTGATACATGCAAGCTCATCAGACCTCTGCTGCTGGAGGGCATTCAAGTCGTCAATCGCTTTGTCCTGCTTCCTCCTCAACTTAATCAGCTCCAAACGCTGCACGTCAACAACTTGTCAGAGCATCTTGTGCATCACAAGATCGACTCGTCACTTCAGCGAGAACATTCGGATCATCATCGCGACGTTGTTTGACCGCATGCGGTCTGCAAGGAACGTCACACTAGCCCGCAAGCAGGTCGCAACAAGACCTGACGTGCTCGAGCCTCAGGCTATCCTCGCTTCCCCGTGGAGGACAGCCGTCAAATCTACAACACTGGGCTCAGAACATTTGCCACCCTGATGCTCTCTCATGCACACCGGTGCGGATCTAAACGATGGCGGAGCTCCGGGCATGCTCTGCCTTGCGAGTGAACAACGATTTCAGCATGGTCGGGTATCAACACCTGACGAAGGCTTCAAGATTTGTGTAGAGCTCGCGGGACATGGCCAGGTCTATCGGAACAAAGTTCCAGGGGTTGAAATTTGTTATGATCGCGCCTCTGGCGGTTGACTTAGTCACATTCGTACGTCCTCTCGTGTCATGATTGTACCTGTAGGGTGCCCACATCCTGTGAGGAAAGCACGTGAAGCCACCTGGTGCAAACTTAGACGAAGAAAACTTATGCTCAAGCATTTGTCTTGCTGACCTTCTCCCCCGACAGCCCATACAAGCTGCGAGTGACCTTGGCGTCAGTTCACTTCCAAAGGCAAAAAATCTGCAAGACCTTGTGCTCAACTTTTAGATTGTGCCAACTATGAATCATCATCGTCGCGTCTGTAAGGTTTCGATAGTTTCCTTTGTACCTATCTCTCATTCAGAACCAGCAAACAAACCGTTTGCAACACACAGAAAATCTCCCAGACGGACGTATGAGATGGCTATCAAGGTGAAGCCGCGATGGTGATCGAGCTGAACTCGCATGAGTGCAACAAAAAACAATAGCAGCGTACTCACAACTCCTGAAGCTAATCGTGAAGATGCTGTAGGTCTCCATATCATGTACGACCCTTCAGGGGAAGCTGCCGGATTGTGCTTGAAACTGATGGGAGTCAAAGGCAAACAACTGATCCAAAGCAAACGATCACATCTGCTCCACCCATTCTTGTTGCAGTATCGGACATTGGTGCACTTCCAGCGCCAGGCCTTCCAGAATCCTCTCAGGAATGATCTCCTGTATCGCAGCCATCAGTCATCACACGGCGTTGTATAGTACTCGACTCGGTCAAGGACCATCGCAACGAGAGCACTACATTCAATCGGCTGACCTCTTCAGTCATCTTGCCCTGGCTCCTCTCATTCTGAGGATAGAACGAGATCGACCTCACGCTTCTTCGCCGCGTCTGCTGCCCCGGCGACTTCAATGTCGGCGCGCGCAAAGACGCCGTCGACATGATCACGGTTGTGGGTGCGAAGTGGTGAAGGTCAAACTCTCAAGCCTGGTTTTCAGTGAGGGGGTACTGAGGGGTCCACTCGGAAAACAGGCTCACCGTCCGGGCCAGGCCCGGGGGACCGTCCGATCGGATAATCGGTCGGATCGGATGATCGCGCCAGGCGGGGCGCCGCGCCCCGCGCAGTGCCGCGGGCCCGGCTCCAGCGGGTCCCGGCTTGGCCCAAGGCTTAGTACCGAGCCGGGCCCGGGGAGTACCGTACAGGTGACTCAGTCAGTGATGCCAGGACGGTCACGGGTTGTCAACCGTCCTCGTACTAATTTTCAACTTATCTCGGAGTTTGATAGACACTAGTCATGCCAAGCCTCCTCGACTCTCAGGGTCTGATCATCGGATTGTACCGTACGGTCCTCGTACTGATTTTTACCTTAACTTTGAGTAAAGGCCAGCAAAGTCATGAGTAAAGTCACGGTGCCACGTTCGGATTCGGATAGCTCAGTGATGTGATACTGAGCTGCCAGTAGCTGTGCCAGTAGGCTCGGGCCCCGGCTGGGGATGAGGGACAAAAAACGGCAGCGCTGCCAGGAGAAATGCAAGGACCTGAGTAGAAGTAGCGACATCGTTTGGGAGATAGTGGCGACAAACAGGGAAGACTGAGTGAGAGATGCAGAAGAGTGATGGCATAGTAGACCAGTGAGTCTAGAGGATGGGTTGACCCTTGTCAGTAGATGAGCTAAAGTGATATCAGATGGATAGCGTCGCAGTTCAGATGACCGTCGACTGCCAGGGATCGATCACACTTCCAGTCAACTGACTTGTGGCGATCACAGGGACTCTCAAGAAGCATGAGAATGTTTTGAGCCACTGAGCCTTCGACGATCATATGAGCGAAGCAGGTACATGACAAGCTCTCCTAAGAAAGAAGCTTCCAAGCAAGAGCCTTTCGTCTCGCCTACTGCGTCCCTCAAAGCTTACCTTCAGCTCAGCACCTTGAGCTTCGGAGATGAAGAGGATGCCTTAGAGAAAGGCGACGAGCTCGGCAGTTGGACCAGGCATGACTCCCGTAGCAGCCAACCGCAAAGCAGCTTTGCGGACAAGCAGTTCACAGGGAGAGCGCTGAAGAGTCCGGGGAAAGCGAGGAAGGGCAGGAAAAACAGCGGGGGGAACAGTGTGCGAGGGACGGGGATCGTTCTCAAGGAGGAGGAGGTAAACAAGAGAGGTCAAGGCAAGTCTGAGCAGAGCTCCAAGAGGGAGAGATACTACACTTGGAACGCCTCTCCTCCCCTCTCCTCCCCCCCCCTTGTCTTGGCTCCTGAGATCCCAAAAGGAGGAGAGAAGGTGCAGGAGAGGGCTGAATCAGAAGCAAAACTCGAGCGCGGTCCTCCCAAGTCAGCTGAACCTTCATTGCGACATGCAAAGATCAGATTCGAGGAGGAGGAAGAGCCGTCAACAGCGGTTGAGCCGTCAAGCATGACAGCGGAGCAGGAGAGGTCTGCTGCGAGCAGAGAGAGGCAGCGAGTGCCGTCCAGGCAGAAAGACTCTCTGCACAAGCCGCAGCGATCGAGAGAGCCCCGTCAACGAGCAGACGTCGATGCGCGGGAGGCGAGGAGGCACAAGGGAAGGTTCCTCAAGATGCCTGAGTTCGTTCCTCGTCGACCGGAGTCCCTGAAGACCTTCAGCCGGTTGAGCACCCCGTCAGGCTTCGCAAGCAGCATGCTCTTAGCCGACGAGATGTCCACCCTCTTCCGAGAGGACGAAGATCAAAGGCTCGAGCGAAACCTCAACAGCTTCGGGAAGTACGCTCTCGTGCGGCAACTCGAGCTCCAGCTCAAGGAGGCGCTGGACGAAGCTGATCTTATCTGGAAGCGGCCGCCCCTGACCGAGGCTCGGTGACCTCCCTCCTTCCCTCCCTCCCTCCTTCCCTCCCTCCCTCCTATCTGCAGGAAGGATCTGAGTGTGATTGCGCAGGAAGAAGGCGTATGACTTCCTGCTCCCCAAGCTCTTCGACATCTTCGATGAGATTCTTCTGTCCACCGGGCCCTTCGGCAAGGTCCTCAGGACTATCAAGGATGAGCTGTACAAGTGGTGCTGCTCCTCCCGCCGCCATCCTCCAGCTGATTGCAGTGCAGTTGCTACAGTGATGAGCAAGACTACCTCAAGCCCACCGGCCACAAAGTCGCCTGGGTACAACTTGTGCCCGAGATGAAGCGAGAGCGAGAGAGGGCCTTGAGCGCTCTGACCACGAACGAAGTGTAAGAGTTGATGTTGACCTGCAGGTCCAGCTCAAGTTCCATGCAGGTTGTTGAAGCAGACAGAGAAGGAACTGAAAGAGGTGAAGAAGGAAAAGGAGAACCTTGAAAACCAGCTGTTCAACATTCAGCAAAGGGCCTCGAACACGAACGAGCAAGCAAGCAAGACAGAGTCCCTTCTCAAGAAGATGAAGGTGACTTGAGATTATCCCCTGTCTCTTCGCAACCTATTGATCAGTCTAACGCATGGGGCAGGCCGAGTACGAGGAGCTCAAGTACAAGTTCGACCAGCTGCAGAAAGGTTTCCTGCTGGGAGAGCTGCAAGACGACATGCGGGAGATGCTGCTGGAAGGAGCCAAACAAGACGCCAAGATCGCCAACACGATGGAGAGACAGAGCGCCATGCACAACCTGATCCAGCAGCTCAAAGATGCCAAGGATGCCATGCTGAATGCCAAGGACGATGTCAACTACTGGAGAGGGAAGTACGAGGCAGTATCCAAGAGGATGGAGGCCATGACAGAGAGCTTCCAAGACATGTCAAGCGTGCTGGAGATGACCAAAGAGAAGATGACGGGCATGGTGCCCAGCGCTGTGCACGTGGCCTTGAAGCAGCGGTACACGGAGGCTCTCAAGGAGATCGAGAGCATGCGGGACTACCAGGAGGCAGAGAAGAAGAAGAACCGAACCCACGAGGCAGCCAAGGAGCGCAAGGACGAGGGCTGGCAGAACTACGATAAGAGCAGCGAGACCTCGCACCGCTCGACGAGCTCCATGGCACCGTCAGACCACAAGCACGGGACGGGGATGGACCGGGACGATCTCGACACAGACTGGGACACGCGAGAAGACGCTGTGCCCTCTGAATTCCTCGATTCAGTATCGAAGCAGCGGGCCAACCTGGTGGCGAGCTACAAGGCTTACAGGCGCCTCAGCGGCACATCCGTGGTTGACTGGACGCAACTCAAGAACATGACCCTCGCTGAGTTCGCGAAGTTGGAAGAGGATTGTAACTTGTCACCTGACCTGATGATTATTTGCTCACCAAGTTGCAGGTTTCTCGCAGAACTCGCTGTGGGCTCTTGCGCTTCAAGGTGAGAAATGAGGTGACGAGGGTTGGGAGATAGGTGGCGAAGGACTTACAGTTTACGATATCCGACATAAGAAAACTAGCTACACATTTGAACCCCCCAGATGATTTCAAGAAAGCAAACCCCAGACCATCTAGTACTGAAATCTCAATACCTTATTGCTTCTGCTCCTGATCACCACCCTGTGAAGTCGTCAATGCCGTCACAACCTACAAGCATTCACTTCACCTGGTTGGCAGACCCGTCGCTGGATCCCTTGTTCATGGCCTCCCCGATCTTCATGGTGGCCTGGCTCAAGGCAGTGCTCTTCTCCTTGATGGCCTCCACGTCCTCTCCACTGAGAGCAGTGCGCAAATCCTGAATGGCTTTCTGGATTTCCCCCTTGATGTCCTCACCGAGCTTGTCCTTGTACTCCTCCAAGGACTTCTCCGATGAGTGGATCATGCTCTCTGCCTCATTTCTGGCATTGGCAATGTCCTTCAACCTGGCATCCTCGGCAGCAAACTGCTCAGCCTCTCTGACCATCTGCTCGATCTGCTCGTCGCTCAACCCACCAGAGGACTGGATGGCAATGGACTGCTCCTTGCCAGTGGCCTTGTCCTTGGCACTCACGTGCACGATACCGTTGGCATCAATGTCGAAGGTGACCTCAATCTTGGGAACTCCTCTGGGTGCAGGAGGAATGCCCACAAGATCAAACTGTCCAAGTAGCTTGTTGTGGGCAGCCATGTCACGCTCGCCCTGAAGAACCTTGATTCCAACTTGCGTCTGGTTGTCAGCGGCCGTTGAGAACTCCTGGCTCTTCTTGGTCGGGATGGTGGTGTTCCTGGGAATCAAACGGGTGAAGATCCCTCCGAGGGTCTCAATTCCGAGGGAAAGAGGAGTCACATCCAACAGAAGGATATCCTTGACATTTCCCTTGAGCACTCCGCCCTGGATGGCAGCACCCATAGCAACAACCTCATCGGGGTTCACACCCTTGGAGGGATCACGCTTGAACATATCCTTGACAAGCTCTTGGACCTTGGGCATCCTGGTCATACCGCCGACCAAAAGAACCTCCTGAATGTCGCTAGTAGAAAGACCAGCGTCCTTCAAAGCGTTGCGGCAAGGTTCCCTGGTGCGCTCAATGAGAGAATCAACAAGCTGGTTCAGGGTGGCACGAGTCAACTTCATGTTCAAGTGCTTTGGTCCACTTGCATCAGCAGTCAAGAAGGGAAGGTTGATGTCAGTGCTGGGAGCGGAGGAAAGCTCACACTTAGCTTTCTCAGCTGCCTCCCTCAAGCGCTGGATGACAAGGTTGTCCTTAGAAACGTCCATGCCGGTCTGTTTCTTGAACTCAGCAATCAAGTGCGAGAGAATTGTATGATCGAAATCTTCTCCTCCAAGGTGGGTGTCTCCGTTGGTTGACTTCACTTCGAACACGCCACCGTTCATCTCGAGGATGGAGACATCGAAGGTACCACCACCAAGGTCATAGACTGCCATGACCTTGCCGTCCCCTTGCTTGTCCATTCCGTAAGCAAGTGCAGCAGCAGTAGGCTCGTTGATGATACGCAAAACCTAGCATTATTTCATTCACAAGGAAGAGGCAGCTGTGAATGCTCCATACCTCGAGGCCTGAGATCTTTCCAGCATCCTTAGTTGCCTGGCGCTGAGAATCGTTGAAATATGCAGGAACAGTAATAACTGCTTGGTTGACCGATGAACCGAGGTAGCTCTCTGCAGGAGCATGGTTATTCATGCATCAACTGATTATTGAAACATACCAGCAGTCTCCTTCATCTTCTGCAAGACAAAGGCTCCGATCTGAGACGGGGAATACTGCTTTCCCTCCTTTGACTGAACCCATGCATCTCCGTTGGCAGCCTTGACCTGAAATTGATTTTCCATTAGAACTGACTAGGAAGAACACGGGATCATACAATCTTGAAGGGGCTGTGCTCAATATCCTTCTTCAGTGTAGGATCAGTGAACCTGAAATTTTGCTTAGAAATTCTTTCTCAGAACATGTGCGCATTACTGTCTTCCGATCAAACGCTTGGTTGCATAAAAGGTGTTGTAGGGATTGGTGACCGCCTGTCGCTTAGCAGGCATGCCCACAAGCATGGTCCCGTCTTCTTGGAAAGCAACCACGGAGGGAGTAGTTCTTGCGCCTTCAGAGTTCTCAATCACCTTCGCCTCCTGCTTCCCTTCCATCAAAGCAACGCAAGAGTTGGTTGTTCCCAGATCCACGCCAATGACATGTCCTGATCCCGCTGACCTGCACAAACAATGTAAGCACAATGGACCAGTGTCAATCGATGCTCACATATTTCGCTGCTGAAGCGCTGGGAGGAGACATCTCTTCTTCGCGAGGGCTAACTGTAGGTGTCCATGATAAGTTTCAAGGTTATCAAGCTCACATGTATCAACACCTGAACTGCAGAAGCTTTGGGCAACCGTCGGAGAAACATGGCGACAGCTCACACTGCCAATCCTTGTCAATTGAAGTTTCAATTTTTCAGCTGTTGGTGTCCTAACATGGATCCTGTTACTCGGCATCTCGCTTCGTAAATGCTTACATAATAATACTGGTGATCAAAATCACGTCTTGGCTTCTATCGAAACACAATGGGTAGTGGTCGAGTCATCAGGCCTATGACAACTTGCATTGTACGAAAAAGCTTCGATGTACAGCTTATTGCTAACATTTTCATGCCGCCCTAGATGGAATCTGGCATATTCCTCTCTTCAAACACCAAGCCATCCTTGAAGTCATACATTCTGCCTCGCCTTTTTCAACCATCTTTCGACGTAGGTCATTCTCGCTTGCGTATACCTAAACATGCTCCTATCCTACTGCATGCAGCAATCTCGAACTTCTGCCGCGGCAGGACACGTGCTTGGTACCCCAACACACATCCTACACCCCCTTGCTTACAACCCCCACCCTATTTTTATCTTCATACCCCCTTCAATCACTACCCCTACCCCTTTAACATCCATAGTCCTCTGGGTCTCAATGGGTATCATCCTATACACCCCCACCAACTCCTTTCCTTTTATTTTACCGGAAATTGTCCTGGACATATGACTACTACCCACCCCCTGCGTGCGAATATGAGCGGAACACCACCACCATCTTCTAGAACAACAGATTAATCACCCACCCAGGAAAAAGGACATAAACAGGACAGCACCCTGCTATTGTGACCCCTCACCCCTGGATTACGTAAGCTATGTACCCCCTACCCCACAAACATACCCCTACCCCCTTGTGCATGCCCATATGAAAAACACCGACCCACGATATCGATACCTTCTAGAACCCATACTACCCCACCCCCTTATTTTACCTCATGCTCCTCACCAGTGGTAGGTCAACCCTACCGAAGCACACAGGACCCTTTGAGTTTCCCAACCCCTTTTAAGTCCACCCCACCCCCAGAGGCTCTGAAAATCTGAAATACCACCCCAGTGGGTCTCCCTGCACGTCAGCCTACGAGTCTTTATGACCCAACCTAGCGATGCGTCTCATCAGCACCATGGGGGTGGGATCGCTCCCTTGCACAGCTGATTTGAGGGGGTAGGGGTGTGAACCACTTCTCGTGAACCCTACCCTCATACCCACCCCTATAGACTAAAAGTCTAACCTTACCCCCTCATCATTGCACTGGACGTAATGAGGGTAGGGGTAGATGTCGTCTAAAGCAATCATTTAACAACCACGGGTGTTGTATCATTGAGACAAGGGGGTAGTGATCAGTTTCGTTTGCTGTGGTTTGTGGGGTATGATTCGACTTGCCACTACAACATTATTGTAGAATATTTCAAATTTACTCGTTAAAATTAGATTCATCCAATTAAAGTGTACCTAGGGAGAACACCATGGCCGCCAAGATGTCCACGGTGTCCGGGCCCTGAGCCCGGCGGGCCGGAATGGACTTGTCGGTATGAGGGCCAAAGAAACCAACAAGCGGTATGAGGGTTTTTTTGATATGGCTCGACAACTTGCAGACTAGTAGGATGGCGAGGAAAATAGGAGGGAGGTTTGGTACGTGGATCAGTCAAGCTCAGTGAAGATCCTGACAAGTCCATGATCTCAGAGGCATACTGATAACTGATGTCTAGATGGATGAGGAGAAGATCAACTCGCTCATACAGCAGTGGCTCCAAGAAAGGGGTTACTTGCGAACTCTGAGGACTCTACAGGAGGCATCTCCTCCTTCTGACCGGATGTTGGTTCTCTGACGTGGTTTCGGGAGCAGGAAAGCGGCTTTGAGGCAGAGGAAGCTGAGTTGGGGGGGCAGCTGTGCTCGATCTTGTATGACTTCGTGGAGATGAAGAACTCTCTTGAGGATCGACCTGTGGACATTCTTGAAGGTCAGTCGCTCAGACGCCCTCAGCTTGAGTGCTCCTCTCACCATCTCACATGGCCTGTGGGCGGCAGAAGAGCGACGAGCCGCAGAGGAAGACCTGTTGAGCCTACCCGAGGATGTTAGCTTCCCGTCTGTTTTTGCTGCAGAGTTGAGGAATGTTCATTCAGCCAACATCATTGGTCTTTGCAATCCATCCTGCTCAAATCCAGCCATGTCTGAATCTGTTTGATGGTCAGCTGTGAAGATCAGTCCGAATGGAGAGTACATCGCTACAGGTTCAGCCGACCGATCGACGAAAGTATGCAGATGGCTGCGTTTGATGCTTCTTGACAATCTCTGGCAGATCGTTGACTTCGAGACAAGAAAAGTGGTGAACACACCTTGATGATTCTCTGCATACAAGAGGCTTCCTCTTGTGACATGCTCGATACACAGCTGCGAACGATAGTCGCGCATGAATCCCCTGTGCTCTCCCTTGCATTTTGCCCTACCTCGCCTCATCTCCTGCTCTCCACGGCGATGGATGGAAGGTGCTATGTTTGTGAATGTGGCTGAGCAGGCGTTTGATCCTTCGTACCCTACAACAGTGCAGCTATTTCCAACGCAGAGACAGGGGAGGTAGTGGCTACCTTCAAAAACCACAACAAATACGTTATCCGAGGAGCCTGGTCCCCTGATGGCCAGCTCTTTGCAACCTGCGGCCACGATAAGCACGTGAATATCTATAAAGTGGTCGAAGGGGAACCAGGGGAAGCGCTGGAAGCACCTAAGGCTCCGATTTTCGAAAAGTTCCGCAGCAAGGAGTTTGTCAACATCCCGGAAGCCATTGCTTTCCTCTCAGACTCTGCAACCCTCGTGATATCAATCCGGGGAGACAACTACCTGCACTATCTAGACACGCAGAGTGGGGAAGATATGAAGGTGTTGAGAACGACTCCCTTCTCGTCGTGCCGATGGATAATCTGAAACGGTGCCAGGTCAATCTCAACCAGCAAGGCGACGACCATGTCAGCTTCACGGTGTTGGACCTTGTCCCTTCACCTGATGGGAAGTACTTGCTAGCGTCCACTGACAAGGTATGCTCATTCTGCCCTAGTTATTCTCTGGCGCTCTAACCCCACCCCGCAAGTCGAGGTTGGTCTTGTACCCTGTGGGCTCCAGCGCGCAGCTACGATGGTACTACGGTGCTGTAAACGACGAGCTCTGTCAGGTGAATAGACTGGAGGCTCGTGTGGAACGTGAGGCTCTTTCCTAGACGCGAGCTTGCTGGCATCCTTCGGGGGCGTACATCTATGTGACTTCGCAGGATCAGAAGCTGTACTGCTGGAAGGTCACTAGCCAGAAGGTTGTTGCCCAGCTGGTGGGGCACACTGGAACAGTCCGAGATCTAGACATCAGGTAGGGAGCCATGGCGATTCTGCACACTTCTGATATCTTGAATGTTTTCTTAAACCTTCTCATGCCTTGTATGTGACAGTTGGGACGGCAAGACTTTGATCTCAGCATCCTTTGACAAGGTACTAGGAGAAGGGCAAGGGGGGACGCGTGTTTACTCGTTGCAATCAGTCTCTCCGACTTTGGACGGCGTCGTCGTGATCTTCACGCTTACTGCTGCTCCCGTGGCCGCTCTGTGCGACGGGCGCAGAAGCTACCGACGCACTGAGTGGAGCGGAAACTACAACCTGATCTTCAAGTCAGCATAGGCTCTTGACAGGAGCTGGCATTGTAGGGTGGTTGTCGGGAGAGCGTCGGTGAGACAGGCTACATCGTTAATGGATACTCAATAAAAGCGAGCCGGAACAGCCGAACCAAGATGCATTGATTCGCCGATTGGTCATGCCATGACATGCCTCAGTTACAACTTGGTGCTCGCTCCATACACAGAGTCCGAGGGCACACCACAGCATCAGCTAGAAGCAGCAAGCCCGTTTGAAGTAAAGGCTCTAGAGGATGAAAAGCATGTGACATCACGCTCTTTGTAGTCTTGTCGATACCTCAGCCACAACCCAGACCCATCCGCTTCTACTGGGGTTTACTGCGACGCTAAGGACCTCGGCTAAGCATATTCTCCTCAAAGTCTTACAGTGTTACCAGTAGAGGACATACCACTGTACTTTGTACACTCTGTCGCCCAACAGGGTTTGTATCTACTCCAGAGGTCCCGTAGCCGATAGAGCCCTTGCTGCCTTGGTGGTTGTAAGTGACGACCATCGCTTCTCTTGCTGCCCACTCTTGCTCAACAGGCTTGAGCTTACCTTGGCAGAGCTCTGATAACAGTATCATCGTACTTTGCATTCATATCAGGGACATCGTGTGCTAACGTATGATTTTCTAGCAAGCTCTCACTCCTCTCCTCCTCTCCCGCGCCTACCTTCACCTTCCTCCTCTGCCCTCTCTCGTACTGGTTTCCAAGTTTCTTTTTATCTTTTTTTTAAATCTTTTTTTTTCATCATGGCTCCCCCGCAGCAGTAGTGTGAAAGTGTACAACAGAGTTGGATGTCACAAGTCCCTGGGGGTACTCCTGGTATGGGGGTGTGGGGAGGAGGTTGAGACGGGGGTGGTTTTGAGTGATTAAGACGGGTAGGGTAGTCAGAAACACGGGTACCTGTGACTTCCACCGAGTGCTCGTGAGGGAAGGGGTATTTGGATGCATTACCTGCATTAGTACCCGTAGCAAGTAGGCGAAAATGTGGGGGAATGTGGGGTCATCCGAGAAGGGGGTCCGGTTATCATTGAAGGATGTTTTCCCAACCAGCCAGTCGGAAATGATTTTGAGCAGGGACACAGGGGAAGGGAGGGAAGCAGGAGAGGGGAGGGTGGAGAGGAGAGGAGAAGGGGAGAGTGGAGGGGGAGAGAAGGGGAGAAAGAGGATGAGATAAGATCTCAGGGAGAATATGAGATAAGAGCGTGGAGAAAAGATTAAGGATGGATAATAAATGCAGGGGTACCGATAACAGCATTATAGGGGATTTTTAGGATTTCCAAGAATCAAAGCAAGGATAAGCGACTGGAGATGAGTGAAGCTGAGATGATGGTAGTGGTTACATCGTGGTGAACCGGAGAAGGCGGCACTTATGGAGTAAAAGGGGGAGAGGCATGAAGAAAAGGTGAAGTGTGTAAGGAATCAAAGGAGGGGATCTGGTAAATTCTCAAATAAGAGTGGGTAATTATTTCAAACAGAGCATAAGAATAGAAAGAAAACAACCAGTGAAGAAAAGAGGTATTTCGTAGTTCAGTGGGAGAAGATCAGAAGGAGCAGCAGTGATCGAAGGATCAGAGTCTCTCGTTGGACAAACATAATAGGATTGCCTCTTATCTCTATTGTTTTTATACCTGTCCTGATATCAACAGCTTCTTTACAGTGAATCCTATATACGGTTGATTTTAGAGTGGGTCATTTGCAGAATGGGTCAAGTCTGCGAGCCAGGAAAGAGCATTCTACACTGAAGACTAGTTCTTGAGGTCGCATTCCAGCCTTTGGGAAAATGAGATCCGAGGGATGCAGGCGAGGTTTGCCGTCCAGAAAGTCTGTCACTGTGATGACGGTCAATCTGTGCGTCCTTCCTTGTGGACTTCGGAACCGTCACTTCCCCAGACATGTATGAACCTTCTCTGTTTGACTTCTCTGTTAAGACATTTTCCATGTCTTGTTGTTGCTGACTTTGATGTAGCTCTGCATCGCCACTCTCCTCTTCAACGTCTGTCTTCATTTTGTGCTGTTCGCCGGAGGATATTACACCAGCGCTGCTGTTGCCTTGCTTTCCTTCCTTCTCTGGCTAGTCCCTTCCGGGTATTTTTCCCTTGCCCCTCCTTTGTCTCAATTCTTCCAGATTCATTCTCGGAGTCGTCCTGGTCCGAATCTTTATAGGGTTTGGCAGCTTCCTTTTATTCCCAAGAAAAAATGATGTATGACTGCGCCACTTCGCTTCCCGCATCTTGACGCGACGCCTGGCTTACAGTACAAAAGTGAGCGGATTGATGCATTCCTCGCGTTCCTACAGAAGCATGAGGACCAGCTCGACGTCATCTGTGTGCAAGAGTGCTACGAAACTCTGTTCCTCTCTGGGGGATACAGGTTTGACTTGAGACTTCAAGGCCGACCGATGGTCGTGATGATGTGTTGAAACCAACAGAAAGAGATTGATCGAAGGTGCCAAGAGGTTGGGCTTTCTCCATGCCGCGTGTCCTCCTGCGATAGCTCGTTTTCCTGGTACCCTGTCCATCAACTCGGGACTTGTTATCTTATCCAGGTAAGCTCCGCTCTCCCCTTCTCTCAGCTCTCCTCAGCTGGTGCCTGGCCCGAAATGACAGCCTGTCTTCTCAGGTTCAAGATCGTTAGATGGAAGGACCTTTGCTTCGGGTTTTGCTCTCTGCCAGGATTCACCAACTTCTCACGCTCCTCTTGCAGGCCGTCGGTCGAGTCCTTCAACGTCAATCGCGGAGCACTGCATGCTGAACTCGAGAACGGCATTCATGTCGTGACAGCCCACGTCGCTCCCGACGCCTCAGCGAACGGTTGGGAATGAGGACTGTCAGGCTGACGACTGACCGCAGCACTAGGTCCTTACTCGTCCCTTACCAGTTGGCCCATCCGCTTTGCCCGCAGGTGCTCCAATGTCCTTACCATCCTCCCAACTTCACTGATCACTTCTCGCAAGATCGCAAGCGGATGAGCTTGTTCGCTTCATCGGACGACAAGTGCCATCGTCATCTCCTCTCATCCTGGCCGCCGATCTCAATCTCAACATCAGATTCAGCTCCTTCCACTCTCAGGTATGAGCTGCTGCTCCCGGCCCCCGGCTCTTCCTCTTACAAATCCTCCTCAGCCAATTCTCTCCTCGGCTGCCAGATACTTGTTGAGCCGCCTACATGAGCGATGCGACCTGGTGGAGGTATCCTGACAGCCTGGTGTCTCCAAACCTGAGGATGTGCAGGTCAATGCCAGCTTGAGGAGCGAAAAGCGAGCCAAAGTAACCTCACAGATCCTCTCCGACTTCTGCCATCATCGACGACTTCCTCTTCCATTCCTCCTCCCCCTCGTCTTTCCTCTGTGCGCTCTCCTTCCCACGGGCCTCATGACACTGCAGGCGAGCGCTGAGCCGGTGGTGGACCACATGCGGCCAACATTCGGCTACACGGGCGAGGACGGTAGCCCTGCTGAGAGGTGGATCACGACGTACGGGGGCGGGGTAAGGGCTCTCCGCAAGGCTCTCCTCCCTCACATTTCCTCGCAGATGCTGCGAAGCGTCTGTGACGACGCGATTCTGTGCCGCGGGATGAAACCTCAGCAGGTAGAGGACGTCCCTCTCTCCCGCCCTCACTCAGCCTACTCTAGGTCAAGGAGCTCTGCCTCGTAATCCCTGAGGGGCAGAGGCCGATCCCAGAAGGTGAGCTGCGGCATGTCCCCCTTTCCTCTCAAAATGTGCAACAGTTACACACATCACCGATCATTGGGCCTTGACCTGCCAGCTCGAGCTCATCGTCAGCTAAGGCCAGGAGTGGCAGGCCGCCGCCATCGCGCGGGCCAGATCAAGTCACAGTTCAGTTAGCTTGAGAAAGTTCCGACTAGGTTCTGACCGTTCGAGTCAGCATGCCGGGCTAAGTTCTGTTCTGCTCACTAACTTGGGCTTAAACGTGGCTTGAATGTTCATGATACCCTGGCAATCCGGCCGGGCGTGAGTTCGGCGATGAGGCTCAGACTCTGAGTCCCGGAGTCACTGAGCACCATTCCATGGCATTTACTAATGCCCAATTATAAATTAATATCCTTTTAACAAACACTTGTACCTGTTAATTTGATCATAAGCATACAGTTTTAGTCAATTTTGTACCAGAATGATTTGTACCACTCAGTACTCTTTTATATTCGTTTTAAGCATTTGAGTTCCGGCTTACACGCCTCTTAGCTGCTCTCTACCCTGTGTACCGGTATGTTTATCTGATATGGAGGGGGTAGGGTTATACACAGGTCCCTTTGCCCCCGATCAAAGAGCAAATAATTTTCATTAAAAATCCTGAGATCTCCATTGCAAGTATCCCTCCCCTCCTCCTTCCATGCTCTTCTCCCTCCCTCCCTCCCCCCCTGCTCCCCTCACTTCCTCCCTGCTCCCTCCCTCCCCCCTGCTCCCCTCCCTCCCCGTTGCTTCCCTTTCCCTTGCGCTCCAGTTATAGACACCAAACAAATGAATCTTCACCGTCGTGTATCAGCAACAAATGGAATTCAGAGAAGGCGAAGGCAGGAAGATTTCGATACATTCTTGGAGCAGGAAGAGACTTGTGATGAGTCAAAGACACCTGAAGATTTGAAGCTTCGAATGATCCTGCATACGTCAGTTGATGATCGAGACTTGCCCAGGATGTACTGGAAAAAGCCAGGCAGTAATTTGAATATCATACTTGAGCCTGGCACAGGGGTTCAATATCAGTGTGAAGATCACAGGGGCGTTGAAGTGAATCGACTGGGCATGATCAAATCGCTGCACTCAGATGCACAGGTTGTCGAAGTGTACATCATGTACAATGGAGTCCTCTTGGAACATGTAGACGAAACCATTATAACTAATCGAGTGCCCTGTGTGGCCCTGAAAAGAATTTTGAACAAAGTTGGAAACCGTGATTGTTATCAATCAATTTACAAGGATACGGATGAAATAAATGCTATACCAAAAATGTGTTTCTTCAGCTTTCCTTGCATGTTGGAGCATGCCAACGATGATCTCCACGATAATTTCAGAGTGCATGGGTATATATTTTTTCATGAAGACGACATCGAAAATAATAAATATTGTGAAATCTCTCACTTCTCGATTGCAAACCCGGCACCACTCGTTGAAACGATGGCGCAAACAACTTTCTGTTCAGCGGCGGAGTACAATCGGATTTGTCGAGATATGACCGAGGTCAAAAAGATGTTCAATCAGTGGTTGAAGTCAAGGAGTGAGACCTTTGAGAAGAATTTTTGTTTGTTGTTTTCCATTGATTTTCGTTGCTTTCGATTGCTTTACAATTTTTGTTTGTTGTTTTCCATCGCTTTACGTGTGACATGCTCGTCACAAGCCATGTTTATGAACTCCGAAAACCTCAGCATCTTTTCGCTGCCTGTTTCACAACCTCGGAATCATCGCCGTCTTTGTCCAAACCTACATCCGCAAGATGTTCCTATTCGCTTGGGCACCCGCTTGTCTCCATGCTTCTCTTCCCCACAACTGATAAAAACATTACATTCGCAGGAATGATATTCAATGGAGACTCTACCTTATGTCTTAGCTCGCTGGTTCTGATACTGAGAAGTCCTGAGGGAAGTTCATTCACATCCGGCATTCATGGCGTTGAATAGTTCATCGATCTTACACTTGCGATCTATTTGCAATCAAGTTGCCTACACGACTGACATGCCTTATGCTTATGTGCTTGGTTGACACAGAGAGGAGGAAGTATGGGTCTTGTAGAATGCCAACCAAAACAACAATCAATTGCCTAATCAGAGAGATCCTTTACGAGAACAATCTTGACACCAAACAACTCTACAGTCAGAGATGTGCTCGAAGCTCAATCATACGAAAGAGGGTTGTGGATGCTTGATCACCAAAAACGAGCAATTCTCCATCTTGCAATGAGCATCAAAAGGATTCGAAAACAGCCCTAGGCTCTGGAATCCATGGCGATGCTGATTCCTACAGCTTCCTTTGAAAAACAAGCTCGAGCTGTTTGAAACGTCGTCTTGCAGTATGTCGCAAAAAGTACAAACATTCACACATGATCCAACCTTGGATGGCCTGGAGCTTGAATACGATGAAAGAGCCATTGGCTGAGAGCCATCTGGGATTCAAACAAACGCCGCCTGCGCCGGCGGGTGCGGATGCAGCAATGGGGGAAGGGTAGGGCAGGCGATTTGGTTGTATATGCACCCCCCAGGCGTGTAAAAGCGTGTAAGGTCAAAAATAGTTTTAATGTTTGAAACCTTGTTGTTTGGAGGAAGCAAGAATACTTGTAAACCTAAAACTGCTCGACACGGTCCCCGATTCAAACATACTTTCAACCATTATCGAAGTTTCTGGTACAAATTTTCAGCGCGCCGACCATTCAAAAATCCTGGGCTGAGGTACCCCGCTCGAAAATGATCAAAAGCGAGCATTAGAAAACTTTGAAATGCCATGGAATGGGTTAACCGTGATCACCGTCACTTTACTAATAAGTTACCAAACTTGACACTGAACCACCGCCGAGTCACCGACGGGCTATACTGAGTGCCACTAGGCCCCCGGACCCGGGCCCGGCGTATCATATGCGGCCCGGCCACGGGCCACGTTACCCGGTTCTGAGACGGTCAGCAGCCGGCCCGGTCCGGATACGGTCGGGGGCCGCCGGAGTCCGCCACTGCAGTTTACTTAGTCGGAAGCTTGTCACTGAGGGCTCAAGGCTTTACTCAAAGTTAAGTTAAAGATCAGTACGAGGACAATCTGGAGATCAGTAGAGAGTCACACATGAGGCTGTGAGTAAAGTGAATTTTGAGATTTCAGGCCATGTGATGCAGTCATTCATTCCCCCCTTAAGATTTTAGTCAGTTCCATCTTAATTTACCTATATCTCACTTAAATCGAACTCTATCGTGCTGCTTTTAGCTGCTTTCCTGCTATTTCAGCTCAACTCTGCAACTTTGTTTGACTCTCGTACGAAACGATGTCAGCACAGTGACACCAAACCATGTCTTTTAAAGAAAAGCCTAGTAAAGCCGCAAAACCGGAAAAGAAGTCTTTTGAGGATGCTGGAGTGTGTATGGGGCATCGCTCTGATACACTAGGGACTCAGATAAGAAATCGATCACCTTGGACCGATACCCTCCCTCCCACCCTTTTAGGGGTAAATCGAGGATGACATCAGCAACCTTCAACATGACCACGGGGGGTCCTTTAGAGAAGGATAACCCCACCCCCGAATGAAGAAGCTACTACCCCTGGAAGACTGATACGACAGTACCCGTTCTGTTGAGGTTCGTTGGACTACCCACGAAGGTTGAGACCTTATGACATGAGGGGTCAGTGATGACAGTTGCTGATGGACTTATTTTAATCCATCTTGGTACAAAGATAATTATGGGTCTGAGTTTAAGGCCACCAGTGGTGTAAATCATAGGGTTGATAAGTGAACAAGAAGTTTTTTGTTATTTTATACAAATACCCTTGGTCAATCCAAACCGATATCATATGGACCCAGTGTTTTTGGTGAGGACATGGGGGTTCAATGCGATCCTTTTGTCACGGTCAGGGTTTTTTACTCCAGTCATATTTGTCATCATCATCCGAAAGAAGGTTAAATAACATCGTTTGAATGAAGCTTACGTTAATGCTGACATGATATCCTCATCCATTGTATTTTCGCCCAGGAGGGGGCGTATCTGCTGACAGACCCCTACCTTGTTTCTCACAGTACTGGACCCCGTACCATCTAGTCCCCCATATCCCTTTCCCCTTGAATTGCCTTCCCCGCCCTTTCCCCCTGCTCGCAATCAATCTCTGCACAGCCTCGAATCCAGTGCATCCTCATCCCAGCCCGTCTTTGTTCGGTCAATCCTCCGCTCCTCTTGTCCATCACCTTTCGACACTCTCTGATCCCTTGCTAGAATCTTTCGTTCACCCCGTTCCCCTTCCTCCCCTTCCCTCTACGATTTTTCGTGCTCGGTAACCAGAGTGATCTTTCGGCGCTGTGACGTGCCAAGGTTTGCCCATCAGGATGGTCGAAGAAAATGATCACACAACGAAGAAGAAGACGGACGACGTCACGCTGCTTGCATCAGGCCTAGACGAAATGCTTGACGCCTCAGCCATATCTGGGGGCCTTCTCGACGAAGACTCTTGGTTTCTCTTGCGTGCTGAGTCCCTCCGGAGAAAGAACGTCCATGATGCCCAAGAGACGGTCACACAATCGCTGGACACGCAAGAGCTGAAGTTGAGCGAGATCCTCCCCATGGAGACAGGCTTGCAGACCAAGAGGAGGAGAGTGGAACGTGCTTGCGAGTTCTGCCGAAGGAGGAAGCTCAAGTGCGACGATCAGAGGCCCTGCTCCAGCTGCGCTGGGAGGATGACAGGCTGTAGAGACTGTCACAAGGGAGCTGAGTGGGAGGCGCAGCTCGCCGCGCTAGGCAAGAATGCTGGGCTCTACTGGAAGATGCGCCACAATGTTTCGCAGGCATGCGACCGTTGCAGGAAGCTCAAGTCCAAGTGTGGAGACACTCGACCATGCTGGCGCTGCGTGAAGAGCGGGTGTGCGGACAAGTGTGCGGACGAGGCCAAGGTCTCAAACTCATCGCAGACACCAGAGTCAGACTACTGGGGGAGTGACGGGGAAGCCAATGGGGCGAAGCAGGAGTCGCCGCTGTCATCGTCCCCCGCCTCACCTGCCGTGTCGCTGGTCAACGATCACAAGCTCGAGTGAATGAAAGAGCACGTGTGAGAGCATTTTGTGTACTATGATGTAAAGATAGGATTGAATGAATCATGCAGTAAGTACTTGCAAGCCATGTCGTCTCCAGCCGTATCTCGTCTGGTATCCCTGTGATGTGGAAAATGCGGGGCAGACGGAGCAGGAATGCTCACTCTTTTGAGTGCGTGGCATCAGGATAAGGTAGTCTTTCAGGTTATCGGCAGGTAGAGACAACACTGTTGAACGAATCCCCATGATTGACCAGCGATGGTTGAGATGAAAGGAAGAATCGAATGAGAGTCAGATTCGTTACTTGGTTTTAATCAATCTAACATTCTTTCACCGCTTATAGCTCCTCCTTCTTCTCCTCAGAATCCTCCTTCTTCTCCTCCTCCTCCTCCTCTCCGTCGTCCTCGGGCTCCTCCTCGACCTTGGCATCCTCGTCGATCTTGAGGCCAGCCTTGAGCATCTTGAGCATCCTGCTCTGGAAGGCGCTCGAGTCGTCGATGTCGAATCCGGCAGTGATGAGAGCGCTGTCGTAGAGCACGTTGGCGAGGTCCTTGGTCTCATCGTCCTCAGGGGAGTCCTTGGCTTTCTTGTTGAGCTCGATGATTACAGGGTGGTAGGGGTTGATCTCCACAGTCTTCTTGGAGGCCATGAAGCTGTACCTGGAGGGATCGTTGAGGGCCTGGGCCTTCATCAAGCGCTCCATGTTAGCGGTGTAGCCGTAGGTTCCAGTGACAACGGCCATGGGGGAGGTGGTGAGGCGGTTGGAGATGACGAGCTTCTCCACCTTGTCACCGAGGAGCTTCTTGTACCACTCGATGAGGTCCTTGAGGTTCTCCTTGGCCTTCTCCCTCCTCTTCTTCTCCTTCTTCTCCTCCTTGTCTCCGAACTTAAGGTCCTCCTTGGCTGCGTTCATGAGCTTGTGGTCCTCGTACTCGTCCATGTGCTGAACGGCGTACTCGTCGATGGGGTCGGTCATGAAGATGACCTCGTAGCCGCGCTTCTTGAGCTTCTCAAGGAAGGGAGAGGCCTCAAGGTCCTTCTTGCTGTCGCCAGCAATGTAGTAGATGTGCTTCTGTCCCTCCTTCATCCTCTTCACATAACGGGAGAGGGAGACGGTCTCTCCGTCCTTGGTGCGGGTGGACTCGAAGCGGAGGAGCTTGGCGAGCTTCTTTCTGTTCTTGGTGTCCTCGATGATGCCGAGCTTGATGGCCTTGCCGAAGGACTCGTGGAAGTCCTTGTACTTCTTGATGGCCTCCTCGCCGTCCTCACTCTCTCCCTCCTCTTCCTCCTCCTCCTTGTCCTCCTCCTTCTTCTCCTCCTTGCCAGCGGCCTCGGCCTTAGCCTTGTCCTCCTCCTCCTTGTCCTCCTCCTCCTCAGCCTCGATGGCGTTCTCCTCAGCCTCAGAGAGCTTCTTCATCATGTCGAGAGCCTTGCTGACAAGCTTCTTCTTGATAACCTTGAGGACACGAGACTGCTGGAGCATCTCACGGGACACGTTGAGGGGCAAGTCCTCACTGTCAACAACACCACGGATGAAGCTGAGGTATCTTGGCATGAGATCGTCGAACTCGTCGGAGATGAAGACGCGGCGAACGTAGAGACGAAGGTTGTTCTGCTTGGTCTGCAGCTTGTCGAAGAGGTCCGAAGGAGCCTTCTTGGGGATGAAGAGGATGGAGCGGAACTGGATCTCTCCCTCCGCAGTGAAGTGGATCTTGTCGAGAGGATCGTCGAACTCCTTGGTGAGAGACTTGAAGAAGTTGTTGTACTCATCATCCTTCACGTCACTGGGGGAGCGAACCCAGATGGCCTTGGTGTCGTTGACAAGCTCCCACTCCTTACTGGTCTTCTTGACCTTCTTGGTCTTGGGCTTGTCCTTGTCCTCCTTGGACTCATCCTCCTCCTCAACATCAGAGACGTCAACATCCTGTCGTCAAAGATTAGCACTGGTTGTTGGCTGCAGGCAAATTCAACTTACGTCCTCATCCTTCTTCTCCTCCTTCTTCTCCTCGTCCTTCTTCTCCTCATCCTTCTTCTCGGCATCCTCATCAGGAACCTCAACCTGCATGCTTGAGTCAGCGAACGACGTCAAGTCACAAGCACAGCAGATTCACCTCCTCAGTCTTGGTAGTCTGGAGGTAGATGGGGAAGTTGATGAACTCAGAGTAGCGCTTGATGAGGGTACGGAGCTGGTCCTCCTCGAGGAACTCAGTAGCGTCCTCCTTCACCTTCATGGTGATCTTGGTTCCGCGGCCAAGAGTGTTTCCGCGGGGATCCTTGGCAACAGTGAAGGAAGCGTCCGCCTGGGAGACCCACACGTGCTGGTCATCGTCGTTGTGCTTAGTGACGACGGTCACTGAATCAGCGACGAGGTACACGGAGTAGAAACCAACGCCGAACTGACCGATGAGATTCATGTCGCCCTCCTTGGCCATCTTCTCCAAGAAGGAGGAGGTTCCGGACTTGGCGATAGTTCCAAGGTTGTTCATGAGGTCTTCGCGGGTCATGCCGATACCAGTGTCGCTGATGCTGATGGTTCCAGCTTCCTTGTCAGCTTCGATACGGATCTCCAACTTCGACTGATCACCCTCTCCAAGAACCTTGGGGTCGGTGAGCGAGAGGAAGCGGATCTTGTCCAGGGCATCGGAAGCGTTGGAGATGAGCTCACGCAAGAAGATCTCCTTCTTGGAGTAGAGCGAGTTGATGATGATGTCCATGAGACGACCGACTTCGGCCTGGAACTCTTGTTTTTGTCCACCCTGCTCGAGGGCCTTCTTCTCCTCCGCGCTGAAGCCGTCATAGCTGAGCGTCGAGGCAGCCTTGTCGGTTCCGAGGTCCCCATCGGCGGTAGCCGAGGCGGCAGGAGTTCCGTCGCAGTGAACGCCTGTAATGGAATGTCAAATGGAGTGCAAAGCCCAGCAACAAGACTGACCCGTCATAAAGCATGCCTGCAACAAGCAAGCAACGAGGAGCGTCGCTGAAAGAATAGGAAGGATCTTGATGTCCCCCATTGTCTTCCACGCACTATCCAACAACAAAAAAGTGCTGCAGGCAGCATGTCAGTTACCGTTAAACAGATATCAAGGCGGAAACGTTGAGCGGAACAGGAAGACAACAATCACTCAAAGTCTAGAATGCAGCAGAAATGGCAGACACTAGCGTATGCAGAGGTAAATACGAAATGAAAACAAGGAATGTATGAAGAAAAGGAGGAGAGGAATACGAAACAAGTATGGAGGTAAGGGAGGAGAAGAAGGAAAGGGAGGAGGGCACAAGATCGCGGGCGAGGGGAGGACTACAACAGCATGCGTGCATGTCGCGACCTGTGTGGAGCTCTGAGGGAGACAGGAGGCTGCGGCTGTTCTAGATAATCGTGGGGTGGGGGTGGTATCTGCTGTGTTTTGCGGGGTGGTAAAAGTCAAATGTGGGGTGGTGTCTGACCAGGGGTCCGGAATGTGACGTGGACAACAACACCCCTTGTGAGATGCTAGGGTATAAAGGGAGGTAGGGGTGTTTGGAGTAGGGGTAGGGGAACTTAGGTCCCTGCAGTGATCAAACTGGAGGGTAGGTGGTTGGGTTGACACATAGTAGGTGGGGTGAGTAAGGATAGGGTAGAGGGTGGACGACGTAGTGCATTGGTGGGTAGGGGTACTGTGAATATGGGTACTTATGCAGGCATAATGTAGGGTTCTTGCAGGGTCTGGAGGTGGTACACCGGGTCGAATTGTCCTCTGATTCTTTCTTGGGGGTGGGGGGAGAGACAGGAGGGTAGGGGTGATAGAAACTGAGGGGTGACGTGGATGTAACGGCAACGGTTATGCTCCACGTCACCTCTTCTAGAAGTTCCTACCGGGGATGAGGGCTCTCACCCGGTGCCGGGCCCGGCATTCGCTGCGGTCGGCCGCGCTCAGTGGCACAATAGTTGCAATTTTGGCGCGCTTGCATTTCGTGAGTTGCTCTCGCCACCGCTTGACATGCAGCAAGCGACAAAATGCGGTGATCTTGATGATCTTGATGAATGGGATGAGGAATCTTTGCCTGAAGACGAACGTACCGATGATCTTTATGATCGTGATGAATGGGATGAAGAATGGTCCGAAGACGATGACGACGAGGCAAGGCAGTCTTTGCGTATGTTAAAGCGTCTCAAAGGGCATGAAAAGTCATCGACCGACTATACAAAGTCGCTGATAACGCCACTGAAAGGCAACCGTTTCCTTGATGGAGTACCCGACTGCATGAACAGGAGTGCCAAGGTTGGTAAAAAGAGAGGTTCCCCTATCGCATCCGAGAAGGAATGTCATGAAAGATCGAAGGGGTCAGCAAAGAAGCAGAAGCTTATTATGGCAGACTACTCGTCACGACATTCCGATACAGCATCTTCGAGCATGACTGGATCTGTGAACGATGCCGCCCCTTCGATAGATCGTATCATTATGTCTGCGGAACATGCTCGTAGAGATGCATGGAATCAAAGGGAAGCTGAGTCCGTGGCAAGGGAAGCAAAGTCGAAGGCAAGGGAAGCTGAGTCCGTGGCCAGACTTGCAGAAGTCGATGCGCGGACAACTCGCTTGATAGTATCTCAGATCCTGCGAATTACACGGGAACTGCGTGACCATACCTTGCCAAGTGACGTGCGGTATATTTTAGAAAGTGAACTGAAACAGCAAAAGCTCAAGTGGCATGCACGCCAAGCGGACACATCGAACAAACGACAGGAAACCACGATCACCGAACAGGAGGACGGCGAAGATTTAGGTCCTGCATCCTCTGCACCAGGGCAGAACGCATGAGGTGATTGTGGTTGCTTTCACTTGCACCCGGCGGTGGGTGATAACATAAGGTGTACGCAGGCGCTCCATGTTCATTGCGGAGCGGTCGGTCGCACTCTTGCAATCGATCAGGAACAGCTATATCACATCTGTGCTTAATGGGTAACGAAATTTCATCCAATGGTTGTGCATCTTCGTTGTCCTGATCCAGAATAAAATTGTGCAACTGCAAGCAAACCTTGACAATGATCCATGGTTTGTGCAAGTCCACCCCATTTACGAGTACGCCGTTCAGCACATGGACGAGTACGAGGACCACAAGCTCATGAACGCAGCCAAGGAGGACCTTAAGTTCGGAGACAAGGAGGAGAAGAAGGAGAAGAAGAGGAGGGAGAAGGCCAAGGAGAACCTCAAGGACCTCATCGAGTGGTACAAGAAGCTCCTCGGTGACAAGGTGGAGAAGCTCGTCATCTCCAACCGCCTCACCACCTCCCCCATGGCCGTTGTCACTGGAACCTACGGCTACACCGCTAACATGGAGCGCTTGATGAAGGCCCAGGCCCTCAACGATCCCTCCAGGTACAGCTTCAGTACACAAAAGGCTCTCACACGTGCTCTTTCATTCACTCGAGCTTGTGATCGTTGACCAGCGACACGGCAGGTGAGGCGGGGGACGATGACAGCGGCGACTCCTGCTTCGCCCTATCGAATTCCCCGTCACTCCCCCAGTAGTCTGACTCTGGTGTCTGCGATGAGTTTGAGACCTTGGCCTCGTCCGCACACTTGTCCGCACACCCGCTCTTCACGCAGCGCCAGCATGGTCGAGTGTCTCCACACTTGGACTTGAGCTTCCTGCAACGGTCGCATGCCTGCGAAACATTGTGGCGCATCTTCCAGTAGAGCCCAGCATTCTTGCCTAGCGCGGCGAGCTGCGCCTCCCACTCAGCTCCCTTGTGACAGTCTCTACAGCCTGTCATCCTCCCAGCGCAGCTGGAGCAGGGCCTCTGATCGTCGCACTTGAGCTTCCTCCTTCGGCAGAACTCGCAAGCTCGTTCCACTCTCCTCCTCTTGGTCTGCAAGCCTGTCTCCGTGGGGAGGATCTCGCTCAACTTCAGCTCTTGCGTGTCCAGCGATTGTGTGACCGTCTCTTGGGCATCATGGACGTTCTTTCTCCGGAGGGACTCAGCACGCAAGAGAAACCAAGAGTCTTCGTCGAGAAGGCCCCCAGATATGGCTGAGGCGTCAAGCATTTCGTCTAGGCCTGATGCAAGCAGCGTGACGTCGTCCGTCTTCTTCTTCGTTGTGTGATCATTTTCTTCGACCATCCTGATGGGCAAACCTTGGCACGTCACAGCGCCGAAATATCAACCTGGTTACCGAGCACGAAAAATCGTAGAGGGAAGGGGAGGAAGGGGAACGGGGTTTTTAGTTTGGCGACCCTTTATTAATAAAATATTATTAGAGTGAAAGCCACAAACTTCTTTCCCGCCAAATGCTCGGCGCAGCTATGCACAAGGCGCTGAGCTACGCGGCGACCCGAAGAAGATGCCGAGACTTTAAAATCATCTGCGAGCAGAGAAATGACAAATGGCTAGTCGGCATCGGGGACGACGGGGAAGGATTTCTGTTCGAATCCATCGAGGAGGAAAAATCGTGGCTGTCAGCATTTGTATCGAACGGCATCTGCCAGAATGCCAGGATGGCTGATGATGACGAAAAAGTGAGTAAAGGCTCTCTGCGTCAATGTTTGTTTTGTCTAACTTATTGAAAAGACTGAGGGGGAGTTTTCTTCATTTCAAACTGTTGGCACTCAGTCATCGAATATCCTAATTTTGACCTTCGATGGATCTGTTGGATGTCTGCAAGGACATGCTGCACTAGAAGAGTTCTGTGTGCTTCTGCAGCGCCTGAATCCAGTAAGTCATCTGCTTTGTGCTTATCATTTCCATTGGTTTTGACCAGTAAGGCCACAGTCGGTATGTGTGAGGCTTAAGTCCGTTGCAAGCAACTTCTGTGTTGTGTATGGGGGTTTCCAAGTTCGCAATTCGTTCGAGACCAACTTTCAAAGACTGACAGAACATCAGAAGAGCGAGTTAAGTCATCGAATCATGAAACAAGTTGCAGGTGCCGAGGTTCATGTCTGGGTGGGACTGCATACCAGTTGTGAGGCTCATGATCCTGACAGCAAGCCGGAGTCACGTATCAAAATTTTTGCGTTTCTTAACTGCGTTCCCATGAACATATCTCCTTTCGAAAACATAGACAAGTTTCTGACCTACTTTGAAAAGTACATTTCAACGCCGTGCAGCTTTTACGGCAACACAAATCGGGTGAAACGATCAGAACGGAGAGCTCGACTTGAGGACAACACAGAAATTACTTGCTACATCAGCTGGAATGAAACCGGGGGTGATTCTGTGCCACTGTCGACATTAACATCAACGATCTCAAGCATGTTTCGACAAGCTATCACAGAAATGGGGAGTGAGTCGTTACAAAGAGTTCGCGAAGAGATTGTTCATCCGGTGACTCATTCGCGTGATCTGCCATGAATTTAACTGCAGTCATCAGAGCTTTGCGAAGAGTCTATGCTTATGCTTGGACCAGTGCCACAAAGAAATTTCGAACAAATTTAATGTGTTTGAATCGTTTGGTATGGAATCAAGCAATACCTTATTATCGCTTCTTCTCAACAGGATGAAGGATTTCGATGATACGTATGCAAGCATTGTATACTTGAACAGACTCTGACATAGCTCAGTACCGAGGAGGAAGTCTTCAATGCGCTGGATGCCTTTGAATCATCCGATCCGCTTAGAGAGTATTCGATCAAAGATTCTCAGCGTGAACTAGTTCTCGACAGAGTCCTTTCCATCGTTGCGCACTGTTTTAGGGCTTTGGCCAACGACAAGTTCCCGACTATCAAATATCGGTCAGGACAAATGTACATGGACGATTCTCCGAACGAATGTTTAGATTTTGAAGATCCAAAAGATGGATTTAAATTTTCCTCTGGTGTTCTGTCATTACGAGGCAGGAGTTCCAAGAATTTGCTCAGATGCGCTCGCTTCTTCAGAGTTGCACAGTTGGTATGTTCCTTGCTGAAAGCCAACAAAACGTCCACGAAGCGAGGTTCATGCACAATTGTGATACTAGGATCTAAAACAGGCATCTGAGCTTTGATTGCAGATATATTCTATGCTGATGGAAAGGTGTTTGGAAAACAAATTAACAGGTGTCTGTCACTAAGCTCTCCCACTTTGATCTGTAATTGAATTATCTGTTCAGTGACAAGGCAATAGAGCTTTTGGCGAGGATATGTAATGTCCCAAGGTTTCAGCTCAACATTGTCTCGTATTCCAAAGGATTAGTCTATGGAGCTCTTGTCATGAAGGATTTGCAAGGAAATTTAATTCATTGTCACTCAGGACCAACAACCCTTCCATCGTTTTCACATGAAATGTCAATTTTTCATGAAAAATGCCTCCAATGTTCACATCATGTTGTTGCAGAGAGCTTTTTGTGGACCAAGCCCATGCACTTTTTGTCGTAGAAAAGGAATGCATCTTTCGAAGATTGTGTGACGGTCAGCACGTTGCAAAATGATGCTCCTTGCTAACCCAAATTTATTCAGACAAATTTATTGAAAGGTTATTTAGAATCTCTTTCACTTGAGATATCCATCGCTGCTAACGTTCCATACGCTGTCAGCAAATATGCAGGCAGAGCTATCCTGTTGACAGGTTGTGGTTACCCAGGTAAAAACAATTTCAAGTAAGAATGATTCAGATTGAGATTGCCAGATGTGCAAACACGGATTCTCTTGAGCCGATTAAGCAAATCGCATCCCAATCTCCCGATTTATGGAATTGCGGACTGGGATCCAGATGGCGTTGAGATTATTTTGACATATGCGTTTGGAAGTCACTCGCGAGAGCACGAAAGAGAGTTTCTTCGTTGCCCTACGATGCGATGGCTTGGTTTGCATTCCAACGACATGAAAGTATTTGGAGTACCCAAAGCGTTAAGACTTGAGTTGTCGTCAAGAGACCGAGCAAGAATTTCTCGAATGTGCGAAAGGAAGGTGAGCGAGAAGAAGTAATCTTTTGAGAGGTCAATCTGAGACCTCTTACAAGGTTATCAAAGAGAATCCTAGGTGGAGGAACGAGCTCGAAGAGATGTTGATACAAGATTCAAAGTACGAGATCGAATGCTTGAACGCTATTTCACAGGGAGGATCCAATTCACTATCAAACCTCTCCAATCACTACATCCATGACAAAATCTGCCGATTTGATTACCTTACATTGAATTTTGCAACCAGCGTAACATAATGTTCGCTTGTTCGGGATCTGCTGAGAATATTCGGCACATTTCTTGGTAAAAGTGAATCTGCAATCATTAAAGTCGTCCAATTTTTGTCAACAAAGCGAACAAAATTTGGAAATCCAGATTTTAGTATTATAACAGAAGAGCAGTCCATTTCTATCTTAGGGCTTGACCAGCTGCGGCTGTCTTACTCAACGGCTTCGTCCATATCCTGAGTAGCCTCTTTCACAGTCTTCTCCCGGTTCTTTGCCAGCCGCTTTGCCGCCTGATCCGCCGCCTGGAAGCAGCTCAACATGGTGAAAGCTTGTTGCTTCACATACCTGCAGCGCATTTGAGCTCTTCAGGGAGTCCATGAAGGGAACCCAGTCCGCTCGGAACTGTCAACACCGTCAGCGATCGCAGGGACACCATGCCGCGCTCTCACATGGTCCTTGATCCTCTGGTTGGCATGCGCCATGTCGTGAATCTCAACCTCCGTCAGTCAACCATGATGCAGCTGATCACAAGATACCATGTGTCGAGAATTCACAGAGCTCGGCTTCGTCCTCGTATCCTGGTGGCAACTCAGCGGTGAAGTGGAGCAGGACAAGAGAGCCTTACCTCATCCTGCTTTGCAGAGGAACTCTTCGACACCTGGAACTGCCCGTCATTCAGATTCACAATGCGCTGTCATTACAGAGTTGAAGAACTTTGACTTCCCCTCGACGTGCAGCTAACAAGTCCATCAGAGAGCACAAGACTAGAGTGTTTGCGTACCTTGAGTGCGTTCTCAAGCAGATTCTTCTCGTCGGAGTAGAGTTTCCCCGAGTTCACCTTCTTTGCCTGGTGCTCAGGCTCCTGACAATGACCTTGTGAGTCAAACTTATCTCTGGCAAGGAGCATCGTGTACCGAAGACGAAGCATCCTGATCCCTCTTCCTGGCGGCTGCACACACGTCAGCACATGTAACAAACAGGCTGGACTTTTCGATCTGACGGCTCACCGCTCATCGAGGCCTTGAAGAGTCTCATCTCAGCAGCATGAATCGCTTTCTGCCTGTCCGTCGCATCCAAGTGTTTGTCCAAGACGAGCTTCTTGATCCCCTCCAACAGCTTGCTCTGCATGCTCTGCAGGTAAAGCTGATTCTCTGAAGAGGCCGAGTTCTTGTCCAGCTGTTTTCGGAGGTAGTATTGCAAACCGTGCTTCTTCGATTTATGCTGCAGTCACACGCTTTGTTTGAGGTCGCGTCAACAACAATTAGGCTATTTACCTCATCCTCCGCAGGCTTCTTCCCCTCTCTCTGGTCCTTCCAAAGCTCCTTTTCCTTCTGTTTTGTTGCTTGATTCAGTTGCGACCTGATCGCGTCCTCCTCCTTCATCTTCCGCGTCAGTTGATCTCGAATTCTCTCTGCTCTTTCCACGGAGCCGCTGAGCTTCTTGCGAGCATGGTACATGCTTGGCTTGGACGATTCCTCCAGCATTTTCTTCTGCTGCTCCTTTGCCTTGCTGTCGAGTTCAGCTTTCAGTCGCGCTTCCAGCTGAGAGTTGCTATTGAAGGAGCTCAGCTGCTTAGCACGAGAGATCTCTTCCTTCACAGACGAGTCTAGCTGATTCTTCAGCATCTTCGCTATGTCACTCCTCGCCATCTTGGCATGCGCTTCTGCCGTCTCAGCTAGTTTGCTGTTGCGAGTTGTCTTGGACAGCTTCTTCTGCTCGCTCGTTTGGATGCTGTTAAAGCTGTTTGCCATCTTCGACTTGAGTGAATTGTCCAGCTGATCCTTGAGCAGGTTCTGGGTGCTCGAGCTCGTACCCTCATGAGCTCGACCTCTGCTGGTCTGCCTCCCTTCTTCCTCAGCCGGCCCCTTGCTCTTCACAACCCCTTCCTTCGGCTCCAGCTTCGCAATCAGCTTGGCGTTGGGGTCGTGCGCGTGCACGACGGCAACAGTCTGGTGCCAGAGTTTTCCCTGCCGCTCGTTCGTCTCCTGATTGAGCTGTGCCTTCATCGCCTGCTCCGTCTTCCAGATCTCGTCCTCCTCCCGCTGCTCTTTTATTTCTTTCGCTGAAAGTTTCCTCGAGCTCGCATGCAAAGCTCTTGCCTTGAGGTGAGTGTGAGCGTGCGGCACAGTCGCATGAGGGGACGAGGAAGGGTGAAGAGAGGCAGAGTGTCTGCTCCCGATCGCCTCCGCATCATGACTTCTCAACTTCATCGATAACTCCGAGGGCTTCGAGTCATTCAGCCGAAGCATCGCACACATCATGCATAGCGCTGCCACTAAGCTCCCCGCACGCATCATTCGCATGGCAATGCTTGTTTCAGCCATAGCGAACAAGCAGAGAGCTCGTCAACTCTAGCTTATGAAACCTGACAACATGCATCAGCTCCAAGATCAACAGCATCAGCATCAGCATCAACACAGGAGGGCAGGCGAGAGAGACCAAGGACTTGGGATCCATTCCTCGTTCATTCTTGACTCGAAGGTGCTGAGCATTTCTAGCATCATATCTTCATGCGTTTCCACTTTCTCTCCTCTACTGCCTCCTTCTCTTCCCCTCCTTCTCTTCCCCTCCTTCTCTTCCCCTCCTCCCCCCCCTCCTCTTCCTCTCTCCCCTCGCAGTAGCGAACTCATTCCCTGCCATTTCTGTCTGTGAGCTGACGCTGCCAAAAGCCCTCATCTCCGCGCTTACCCAATTCTAAAGTGACACGCAACGGTTGACTGTAACGGTCACATTACCTTGAACTTCACCTCGGTCGGAACTTCGGAACAAGTTGGGCCGGCCGCCGGCAACGGTTCAACGGTTGTTTACTGGCGGCCCGGGTTGAACTGACTCTCACAGCCGCGGGGGCCGCTTTGCCAAGTTGCGAGTTGGGACTTCCGAGAGTCCGGCCTAGCGGAACTTGCCAGGCCCCCCAGTGGCGCTGGCCGGGCCCGGCGGGCGCCCACCGTAGGCTGCCTAACAGGCGGCCCCCGCGGCGATGAGCCTCCGGCCCAGGAGTCACCGGCCGCGGGCGGGGTCGGAAACCGTCATAACTCATCAGCGCCAGTCAGCCTGACCGTCACAAGCACCACTGATGCGACAATTTTGACCTGATATTCAATATGAAACATGATATTTAGATAACCTTAGGGAAATTTTATGCAAACACTCCTCGCATTCGCCGTTCACTGTCAACTTGAATACACAGTGACACGTGCTGCGGTAGTTTCCGACCATCAGTCGTCACAAGTTTCAAGCTCCCGATGCCTACTAGGCTCCCTCATTCCTTTCATGTTCAAGATCATTTGCAACGCGCATGCGAATTCAGAGAGACAAGAGTGCCAGAACTGACATCATCATCTGTTGCCAGGAGAAGGTCTATGACGATACGGCTCATGGCATAGATCCTCCGCAGCAGAGGATCGAGCCCATCGCATCGAAGAGATGACCAGACCTTGCCTCTAACGCAAGTTCTGTGGATCATCAGAGCTCAAACGGCTCAAGCATTCTTGAACGTGTCGCTCAAATCCATAGCTGCACCGCATTAGTTACAAGCGAAGAGGAGGCAGACCTGCGAGACCTGAGGCTCGATTGCTTTATCTTGTGGAAATGATCCGATACCGCTGCACTGTTGACTTCATTGTCCTCTAGCTGCAAATCTGAGCACAACAATGATCGGACTCGCTTGATATGTTCCTCATCTTCGATAGGTTCAACATCATCCGAGTCGTTGCTCTGCTCCTTTACCTTCAGTTGGAGATCGCAAAATCACCACTCCGACGCCTACCTGTTTTCCGAGACTGGAGCGTGTTTCTAATTCTTGGCTGCTCCCTCCTTCGCTTGTTAGCGCTGGCTCCAGCACCCATACGAGCACACCAATCTAGCAGAAACAAGTAAACACTAAAGCTTGCAAATCAAGAAGCCGTCAACTCCTCCCATAACTCAAATCGCTTGAAAACCAAAAGATGACTTTCATCATATGATTGATGACTTTCCCTCTGCCTACACCACACCACCACACCACCTCCTGCACCTCCTCCTCCACCTCTACCTCTACCTCCTCCTCCTCCTCCTCCTCCTCTACCTCCTCCACCACCACCTCCAACACCATCACCTCCTCCTCCTCCTCCTCCTCATCATCATCATCATCATCATCATCATCATCATCATCATCAACAACAACAACAACAACATCATCATCATCATCCTCATCTTCCTCCTCCTCCTCCTCCTCATCATCATCATCATCATCAACAACAACAACAACAACATCCTCCTCCTCATCATCATCCTCATCTTCATCATCATCATCATCAT